TATAATTTTTCAAGCTCCAGTAGATGAAGGATCTACAACCTTGTGGATTCGTGTTGGCTAAAGAATTTTGAAAAAGGGGCGGATATTCATACACCATTTTTTTGAAAGGAAATTACGTTTATATTGGTAATATTAATGGTCTCCAATACTAACTCTAAATAATAATTGTAATAAATCACATATGTATGTATTGTACATAAACTAAAACTGTCAACACAGCGTTACAAAAACTAATTTCCTTCCAAAGAAGGAGCTAGTAAGGAGAAACTTTGTAAAAGAAAACTACTCTACTTTTTATGCCATTTAAATTAACAAACTTTGCTTCTAACGATATCAGTTTTATTTTTTGTTTTTCCTCTTTCTTGGCTTTTGTTTTGAAATATTTATACAATTTCACAAAAGCGAATTGTATGAATGAAAAAAAAAAAAAAAAAATATACGGTAATTGTTGTATTTGTTTTCCTTCTCTCATCTTTATGAATTTGATTTGCGTCAGCATTGAAATCCAACGTAGAATCCCTCTTGACTTGCTGGCCATGAGGACCGGATGAATACGAATAATCCAGCTTTGAAAGTTTTCGATACAGCACCCGCCAGTGGAAGCAGAAGATGAATACCTTCCTCTCCGTTGGAGAGACCAGGTAGAGAAGGAACTGGCTGTACTTGGTATCTCCAATTGGGGCCAAGCAGCGGGAAAAGGAATGCATGGCGCGATGTTATAAAAGCGGCTAAAATCTCGTAAGCGGTCTACGCCAGCAAAGTAAGTAAGTACGTAAGTCTGAAATGTTTTGTTGGCAATGTACGTATGTATATTTAATGTATGACTCAAATTTTCTTCCTTCGGCTTGCTGTCGTAATGATATTCTAACACCCCACCTTTCACTAATGTTTCCACTTATAGTGAATTCCAAGGATCATTGGTAAATTCGCCTTGGGAAGGTTATTGGTTATTTCTAATAATAAAAAATAATTTATATATATATATGGTCTGTGCGTCCATATGCTACATAGTAATATGTTTTTACTGTTGGAAGTGTGCCCCCAAATGGCATATTGAATTTGCTTGTTGTAAATAACCCATGAATTCTTTCCTTTTCAAATTTCATTTTAAAGTTTTTAAAATTAATTTAATTCTTTGAATCCATTACTTGAAGTAAACGGATAGTTGACGTTTTGCCATTCATTTTGCAGGTGCTAAATGTATCTAATCGGTTTTTCCTTTTACCCTGGAAGTGCGGCGTTGGTCGATTCAACAAACAACTACCACATATTTTCCGATTTCACAAGTGTTCAGTTATAAGTTTACGTAAAGTGAGAATAGTAGGCAATCGTTTTAGTCGAAACGACTAACAAAGCACTTAGTGTAAGTTATTATTTATTACCAGGAGCCATGTAAGCTGACATTAGTTGGCACACTAGGTTTGAATAAGAAAGAGATATCGAATGAATTGCGTAATAAGTTGGAGCATCACTATTTTGTTATGGCAAAGTCCTTACCGTTAATTTCTAACTGTCCAAAGTCATCAAAATTGGTATATATTTTATCTTCTTGTGAAGGGGAAGGTGTCATCAACTGGAAAGCTTTCTATGTATTCGAGTGTATTTCCGACGTGAAATGAATGCTTCTCATAAAACCCATCAATCACCACAGTTTATGCAAAAGTTTTAATAAATAATTACATTTTATTCAAGATAGTTTTAATTAAAAAACTAATTAAAGAAGTTTTACAGGAATTTTTCCGGCTGTATTTAAATAATCACAAAATAATAGCTTATAAATCATTCGAAAATTGAACTCAAGCTCTATGTAGTTTCTTGTTTCTGATAAAAAAAATTTACTTTCTATTTATGTAACTTATATACATAAATACTAGCAAAGAACAACCAAATAACTACAAAGTATCACAAATATCTCATATTTTTATATTTTATTTAATTCAATTCACAGTGTGTTAGTTGACTCAACAACAAAACTTACAAGAATAAATAATTTTTATTTTTCACAACTCTTTTTTTAATATCCTCATTACTTCCAAAATCATTCACTCAAAGCTACATACATCAGCATGGTGCTAATTTCACTTCTGTATTATTGGATATTGAATGAATTTTCTGCAGGTGTCGTTGTCATGCTGTAGTTCCATCTCTGGATGCACAACGCCAAATCCACCTCTGAAAAAGATACAACTACATCTGACGTACTGTATATTAGTATTATGTCGTTAAAAACTAATTTGAATTTGAACTACAAAAAAAAAAGATCTTTTATATATTGTACATTGCAGTTGCTCATACTTATGTACATATCAGAGATGGGCACCGTTGTTTTATTATTGGCTTGTTGCTTCATACAATAGTTCGCGAAATATTGTAAACAATTTCACGTGCATTCACATAATTAATCTTAATCCAGTGGAATAGAAACATGTAAAGAAACGGTATTTGTTAGAAGGAAATTTTTGATATATTTGAATTTATTATTTTTAACAAAAACTGTATGCGATTAGTGAAAAATAAGAGTTCTAACTTATTTGGAAACGCATCCAAAATCACATAAACTTGACCAAAGTAGCGAAGCTTTTGAGTTTTTCGAGATGAAAAGTCAATAATACGCTGAAGCACTATGAGACCTATAAATGTTTTTTAAATTTTTCCCGTATAAGCCTAGGAACGTAACTCCTATTGATGAAATAGAATATGTTGAAACGTGTGAGATTAATCCTTTTTAACCTCCATTGATACTAGGACACAAACGGAACAGTTTCAACGTGTACACAAATAATTTTTCAAATGGACCAGTTGCACTGCGAGAACCAAATGTTTCCAAAACAAACATTAAAGTAAAATTAGTGTTTGCTAATGAGGACATTGGAAAATACTCAAAAGTCTAGCAGTGATATGGAGTGACGAATCCAAAGTTAATGTTTTGAATTATGACCCGCATTTAGGCGGCCTAATTAAGCAAGGGGTTAGCAATGCGCACTACAATATGGAGTATCATGAGTCTTATTTCTCTCCAGACCAATATTCAAAATTATAGAAACTGATTTTTTCTAATTGCAGTCGTTCCTGGGAACGTATTGTCAATCCCTTCGTGCGCATTTCGGACATGAAACTACTTCAGCCGTCCGGAGATGGGGTGGAATAAGCTGTAGGTCCCTCCTTTTGTTGAAATAACATCAGTAAGTACCTGGAATCCAATAAATTTTTAACTTCATTCACTTCACTCATTGCAGAATTCAGTGCTTAATATATTATTAATAACTCGCAATAAAAATCTATATGAAAACTGCACTAGCACTTGTGATTGCTGCAAAAGAAGTTGAATATTGTCAAAGAAGATTTTTGATAAATTATTTTGAAATTATGTCTGAAACATGGAACAATTTTTGCTTGAAAAATAAATGAGGAATTTTTATCAATCTTTAGTTTTCTCTTTGCCAATTTTTTGTATAAATTCTCTTGGGCATACATATGTACATTTGTATGTGTGAGTATATTATTGAAATATTCCAAAGCAAGGCAATACAAATAAGAACGGGTTAAAATATGGTTAACAACCAAAATAGGAACGAAAACATTTTTTAATAGTAAGGTGTTTTCCAGTCATTAAGGACATTTTTACTTTAGCATATTATGTAGAGATCTCAATCTGTATTTAAATCTACAACACATCAATATGCATAAATACATTTCTGATAAAATATAATTTTTTTATGTATATATGTATTCAGATCAAATGATCGTGTGAATTAACGAGCGAAGTGAAGACTTTCTTTTTGGAGAGCATAAAATTAATAGTTTCCTTTTGATTCCAAAATATACGAATATTTAGCGAACTCTATATTGCCAACTTAGCCAACTTTGGATGGTGTTCAAATGTCCTTCTTACAGGCCTATTCTCACTGTCACCGGCAAAGTAAATTTTGTTACTTGTTTTTACCAGCCGAAATTGAATTTGGTATTCTGGCGAACTGGTTACAATGTTTGAAAAAAAATTGGCAACTCTGCTTTTTTTGTCCTTGTCAAATTATATTAAAAAGAAAGATTGTTCACATCGAAATGGAAGACGATGCACAACAAAAGAAATACGTTTTATTTATTTGTTTATTAAATCATAAATATTTTAAATATGCCTAAACGACAAAAAAAAAGCTGAATGAAACCACTATCTTCCGAATTAAAAGGGTAATTTTTTTCTCGCAAAATTCTAAGCATACGACTTTTTACGCTTTTTTCTTCATCTTCAATGAATTTATTTTTTCTCAAACTAACAACACAAAATCAAACAGCAGATATTTTTGTTACCTCCTATTTCGATGGTAACAAAATTTACAGGGTAACAGTGAGCTCAGAATACGAAATAGTAACAAAATTTACTGAATGGTAAATTTTAATACCAAAGTAAGTTTTGTTACCTCGACAGAATAGGCCTGTTAGAAGTATGCTATACCAAAAGCATTTTCAACAATTCCACGGAAATGCGCTCCGATAGTTGTAAACTTTTATTTGTAAAAACTTATTCTGACGTATCATATTTTGAATTTCTTTAAGGTTTTACCTACAAAAAAATTGAATTGTTGATTAATGCACTGGAAGTAAAAATTAGTAACCGTTCTTTAACTTTCCATTATTTTTCTTCAATTAACATTCTAATCCTGATATGACCAACATCCAATAATTATAAGTAAAATATTAATTATAAAATATTCTAAGGAGCTAGTCCGAGAATCGCTTCAGCGGTTACAAAGCTCCAATTTTACATACATATTTAACATAGTTTGGAATCTATTTTCCAAACATAGTTTCGACGGTTATTAGTGTTCGGCAGGAGAGTTTAATATTTTTCCGCACTTTATGGCATTCGGAGCGTCCAAGTAAGCTTAGTTATGTCAGTCATGCTTCACGAGTATGACTTTGTGGTAACACTACAGATTGGTTCTGAAGTTCCAGAAATTTCGCTAGACATTTTCTTAAGAACTGTCCATTATTTACTTTGCTTAAGGTAACCTTTAGGCCAATATATTTAAACTACCCCGGGTGCAGATTACAAACGGAAATAGAAAAACATCATACATATATTAAAATGAATTAATCCAGACAAAAATTACTTTAATTACGTTTCCATTTCATTTATTACCGTCCACTGAGAATTCACCGATCAAGATCAATATTCTTCAATGAGGCCATATCAGACTTTCAATAAAATCTAAATATTCTGACACTCGAGTAAGAACATTCGGTATTTGGGAATTGCAACGAGCACCAAAAGAATCGATACCAATCAGACGATATTTATTCGATCTTTCATTTGCTACTAAAATCATCGGTCCGCTAGCAACATTACAATCGTCTGCAACGGCATTAACATCGTGTGCGCACAATTGACTTGTTCGTATGCCATCTGCAAGCCGCCTGGTTACGAAGTTACTATACGCATCACGACACAATGGAAGCGGGACAATTCGAGCGCGTGCTTCACCCACGATCTTTTGACCACTGACACCTGAAATGAGGAAATACAAAATTAAAGTTAAATGATGAATGAATGAATGTTTGTATTTCCATACCCCAACGCGTGGCATACAGCTCAGTATTGTTTAGTGGAACCGAAGCAGCGGTGTGCAAGCAGACAGGATATATGGATGAAGAATAAGAAACTTCACTATCCAATTCAACCAAGCCGATGTCGTTGTATGCGGAGGCTGTTGTATACTCGGGATGTAGATGTATTGCCTTGAAAAATCCGGTGATAACATATATATATGTATGTGTTATTAATATATATTATATATTAATATGTATTATATATTACTTTAATTCTCTTTTCAATCATGCCATTTCTTTGTTCTTCGTTATCGAGATTTGTAACACCCAAGCGTACAATCACGGGCATACCGTTTTTCAAGCAATGTCCAGCAGCTACTACAAAACGCTTATCAATTAGAGCTCCACTGCATGGAAATGTTAAATTGTTATTGTCAATTCGATGACCAATAATTGCCATGTAGGGGAACTTTCCAAGCGCCACAGGAGTACCTTCAGCTACATGCGGTATGAAGTTTTCCCGCAGACCAGCATCTATCTCCTCACAAGCTAAAGATTCAAAAGCACACTCAAAGTACGTCTTTAATATCAAAAGGATTTACGGGTTTCAAAGTGCATACCACGTATGGCTGGGCGTGGCAGTACTCCCGCCCTCCCCGATTGGAGGCCACAGATTACTATTAAGCATAGCGTTATTTGTGTCCTTACAACGGACATTTCCATCACATACCGTGTTTCCAAATGTACTTTGAAATACGTTCTTATGGCTAATTACACAGCACCGACTACTGAGGTAGTAAAAATCTTTCACTGAAAATAGGCTTTACTACCTATTAAGCTCAATAAACTGAGCAGACATTAATTATTGCCTTATTATTTATAGCAAAACAGTCTGCACTACGGAACTGAAATGAAATTCCTTTTAACTTTCTTTTCATGGTGATAAGACTATGTTTTTCAATACTTAATATTGATATGTATGAAGCATATGAATATTGATAAGAAAATATTTAATAAAGACACGAGTTCGTAATAAAAGAATCAGACCAGAAGTTTAATAATCACTGATGGTGGCTGGTCGATCTCAAGGTTACGATCTCGATTGCATCCGTAGCAGCAGGTCCCGTATACCGAGCTGCTGATGAGGGCTCTCAGAAAGCAGGTGTGTAGATAACCGTGCGGCTGTTTGTTGTAATTGTAGCTTTTCGACGTCGAATCTTCCTTCTTGTGTTTGTTGACGAATGTTCTTTTAAAGACAGAGGCGCATTCGTATCCTCGCTGCGGCAAAATACTGATCCGAGTACACTGGATACATGTCTTCCGCCTATCACGTGATCGATATGTTTGTGGGTTTTTCGATATGCCGGCATATCAGCTAGCTTGATGAACTTTCTTGTGCTGGAATCTAGTACTACAGACAACTATATTTCGGAGCCCGCCGAAGTGGATCAGTCTCGACCTTTCGCCGTGGAGGCTGAAAATTCCGCAAGTTTTGTCGGAGATACTTTATTTGCCCACCCTAGTGTTAAAGTCGCCGTACAAAATGGCGAGGATAGCGCTCATAAGTATAAATATAAGTATATATATAAATAGCATCCTTGGGCACATCGTCCTCCTTTTCCGTCGAGGCTTAGGCACAAATCAGCGTTGTTGAAAAATTTCGTTTTATTGCAGATTATGGCGAGACGTTCATCCACTGGAGTAAATGCCAGTACTTGACGATATGGCCGATATAGTAAATTTCACAAGGGCCCACCTACTTAAGGTTCTTGTCCCGTCCATCGCGCTGTTTGGACTTTAATCTTATTAGGGCGTCAACTAGCTGGATAGCGATACCTTCTGAATTAAGAGACCCGGCATTCCAGGTGCATGCAATCAAAATTTTATTTACCTGGGTAAACTTCTACGCATGGTCTCATCAAAATTACTGCTGATAGCCGATGAAGTTGAAGTGCTGAACTATAAATGGATGGATGGAATTCCTGAAGGCCTGACTAGCTAGCTTAATGATCATTTTTTGAAAATAATTCGGCGAAATATGAACTTCTGCAAATTTTTGCGAAATACTATGTCGAACCAACTAATTTTCGAGGTTATTTCTAGTATTTTTCAAAAGTTGGGGGCCATCATTAAAAAAGAAAATACGTTGCCATTTACTTCAAAATATGGACGGGTTTCCGAGATTCCTAAAATTCTAACTAAATTAGGAAAGTTTGATCTTTGGATGCAAATGAGATGGCAGGATATAAACCAAAATTTTTTAATTTTGTCATTGCCTTAAGAAAATCTTTATTTTTTTTAAACAACATCTCTCCATAATAATGTAAGGCAAGGTCGAAGTCCTCAACTTCTACTGTTTTATCAAATTAGTCAAATATTGTATATGACTTTTGATTATGTCCGAACCCCCGACTTCTAAGTTTTAAACATTTAATGCTACTATTATTAGACCTGGATCACGTGATCACCCAGAAACGCGGAAACCTAAGGACTGGCTTTGGTATCTAACAATAAGTCAATATGGACAGAAAGTATACACCGAAAGTCAAAGTTTTAAAACAAGCGTGGTTTCTATTCTAAGCAGTTATCTTATTCATGGAGGAAAATCGCAAAATAAAAACTTCGCTTCTTTCTGGTTTTTTCCTAAACTCTATATTCAAATCATCGATTTTACTAACTAACTTTTCCAACTTTTGTTTTAATTAATCTTAGATTTTCCTCACCGTTCTCAAAAATATTATTATGTTCTTCTAATGTCTCTGCGGCTGCGGTAGCCGAGTAGTTAGCATTACGTTCTGACATACGGAAGGCTCGGGTTCATATCCCTGTGCCACCAACATCCAAAAGTTATGAAAAATTAATTTAAATAAGGAATTAAGTTAAATTTTTTAATTGTGGTCGCCCCTCGGCAGGGAATGTCCACCCCTCTGAGCGTATTAAAAAACCCATCAGCCATTCGGAGACGGCTTAGTCTAAGCTGTTGGTTTCTCCATTTGTTGAAAAACATCAAGACGCAAAACCACAAATTGCGAAATTCGCTTCAGGGGCTACAAAGTGCTAATTATATGTATATAATGTCTCTTAGTTCATTACTTCCTAATTGGCTTTTTCTGCCACACATCCTAATACCCGAGTCAATTACTGATTTCGAGCTATCTTCTTCACAAACACTAGCAGAACAGCGTGCTTTCGGCAAATTTCTATCAGGAACGTCTCTGGAACAAGATGCCTGTTCATCTTCATCTTCCCATAGAGATGTCGATAGCAAGCCAACACGTACTTGAGTTATACCTAGGCGACTCAACCAACCCAAATACCTAACAGAAAGTGAAAAATCCTTACAAAATGAACTCTTTCAAACTGTTTTTTAATATTCTACTATATTTTCCGAAAACGCAACTAACACTTAAATTATAATATTAACACTAATTAACTGAAAACGAAAATATTATCTTACATTTTAAAAATCCAAGTTGTTACTAACGTCAATTATTTAAGCATAATGAAATGATGAATTCCTTTGGAATGGGCACCTCTCTTATTCCGCTTACATCCAGTCACACATTTCCTTACTCTTGGTATATTTGAATATTGAAATGAATGTACATCCTCTTCTTATTGGCTATTTGGCGCCAGTAGGAAATACCAAGGGAAGCCAACGTAGAGGAGGCCTTCCTCTTCCTCTGCTTCCACCAGCGGATAGTGCAGCGAATACTTTCAAATCTGGAGTGCTTTCATCCATTCGGGCGACATGAGCTAGCTAGCGTAGCCGCTATCTGTTCATTCGCTGAACTATGTCAATATCATCGTATAACTCGTACAGCTCATCGCTCTATCGTCTGCGGCATTCGCCGTTGCCAGTGCGTAATACGACTAATCAGTTATCGTTCACGCTTCTGCGCCATATAGTAAGACGGGTATGATGAGCGACTTGTTTGAGTTTTCGTTTGTAGAGAGAGGACTTTACTTCTCAATTACCTAATCAGTCCAAAATTGCACTGGTTGGTAAGCATAATTCTGCGTTGGATTTCAAGGTTGACATTATATTGGTGTTAAGGCTGATCCCTAAATAGTCGAAGTTACGACTGTAAACAGTTGATTCACTGCCATTCAGGATGCTGGATAGCCGCTGCCTTCATAAATTCATCTGCGGTGGAGAGAAAACAGACTGCCTACCTCGCAACCCTGCGATCGACTGGAAGGATCATGCGCGCTATTATTGATTCGGCTATGATCGCGTAAGCGATGCCTTCATCAATAAAGACAAGAAGAAGATATTGCGTCTGCAAGTTTGCTATGATTGACGATGAAGTACATAAATATTCGTTCAACCTAAGCATACAGCAAACTAATGACTTTCGGCTAACTTAGAGGAAGACTTCAAGTAGCGACTAATATCTGACTATATCTCCTTAAGTTAACTCAGCAATATGCACGACCCGAACATTGTATGGCCTGTTCATCATTCCCACAACGAATTTGAAAAGTAGGAATAGTACATACATATATGTATATGTATCTAACAAATCAGATAAGTTTGGTATCAAATTTTGCGTAGCAATTGACTTCCGGATTTGGATAATTAAAAATGGAGGGGAGATTTTACTCCGCCTAGAGAATTTCTTGTTGTCAAACTATTGCTGGAACAAACCTCGGAGCAAGCCATAGATTTGTTTGCCGTGCTTCAAGATTTTGTTCGAATACTTTCGAGCAGCTCAATCATTTGCGAGTACTCGCGAAACTGTATATTACTCTTTGCAATTCAAGAATTTAACAAAAAAAGTTTTTTTTCCTTATGAATACCCTTCAAAAAGGACCTGCGCCTATTTTTTTCAATATTTTTGACCTGGTTGGAACCATCGCAACTGTTCCAAACCAAAGAAATCTTTCAACTTTTCGAAGATTTTTCATATAAACACATGAAAAACTAAAAATATGCAGAAAACACGAACAAATGCAATTTCGGATTCTCGTGTGCAAACCCTCCTACCAACGTTTTCAGTCCAATGCTAACTATTGGACTAGTACTTCGGTGCAGTCAACTATTGGAACGACTTACGTCTCGCTACCACCAAATAAAGAAAGACTACAAAAAATATATAATTTAAATTTATATGAAACGAATTATATTCGAAACTGAAAATTACGTCCGAAAGTAATATTCCATAATGCAACGCACAGTAGGTACTCAATGGCATAATGTTTGGATAAATTTAAAAACTAATAGAGTTCTCCATGGATTACTTGGATGTTATGCAGAGATGGAGATGGATGGTCAAGATCTAGGACATCGTCATGTTATGTATGGACTGTAGTTATTTTTTGGATTACTCGCGTGGAGTATATATTTCATGCGTAAACTGATTAGTCGCGTTGTTGGCAGAAAAAATTGCCGAAAATGCTTTTGCAAAGAAAACAAAATTACGAGCATCGTGTACCTAAGGTTAAATTCATTAACTTTTCTCGACAAGATTTGGCGGATCGCAAACTTGCGAAGTTGTTACATGCACTAACGATCATCCGATTCCCTAACTCAATTTTTGCGATAATCGACAAGGGATATTTCCACTTTACTAAAAGCACAAAGAGGAAGGACAAAAACCAATAAGTTCGTTTCAGCAATTATTTGTATTAGGGGTAGGGTTAGGGGCGCAAGAATTTATCCGCGGTAAGGCATGTCTGCCGTAAGAGGCGACTAAAATCCAATAGTTCCCGCGACAGTCGGGTCTTTATATAGATTTTTATACGGCCAAGGACTGTCACTACCGCAACATTCCCAAAAAGTACTTAGGGAATAATTTTGCGACAACAACAACAACAACAACATTAAATGAATTGGAATGCATTACAAGGTTAGTAAATGAAAAACATGTTATGGTTTCCACTTGCAAGACTACGCTGCGTGAATCTTCGTTCTGTAGTGGAGCTCCATATAAAATAGTCGTTCCGAGCTCATGGGTATTTAGTATTTACCGCCAAAATCTTGCGATGGGGATCGAATATCTGTGTACGAATAAAATGGAGTATGTTACTACAACAATAATTAAAAATATGTATTCTTACCATTTGCGGAGAATCTCCACATGCAGGGCATACCTTGGGTAGGTTGGGATCGAGTCTGGATAAAGAGTAGTTTAACCTGCTATAAAATCCATAACCAAGTTGTGCCAGTGTCACGCGAGTCCCTCGAGACAGCTCGATTTCATTGTCTGCAATAGGTGGTGCTTTTACTCGGAGGATGCCATACACGGGAAGGGAGTCTTTGAAGATGTTGACTGAATCTTGGTGAATGACGTTCAGTGTTTGTCTGTACTCCGTCCTTTATATCAAGTACTCCCTTTCTCCTCCATGGTGGCTGACATAGGCATTGCTAAAATTCGTCTGCCTTTAATTGGCTATCAAGAAACTTAGTAGCATTCAAGAGAAAATAATCTTCCATCCAACGTACACCAAATAATGAAAAGCAATTTTTTAATCTTTATGTTCTTATTATTTTTATATTACTTATGTAATTTTCCGATTTATAAGGTTGTCAAATATCTCCCTTCCGCTTTTTTTGCGGATTTAGTTAAAATCTGCGCCGTTTTGTTCGATGGTCTGTTTCCATCTAGACGGCAACTTCATAATACCTTCCTCGTAGAAGCCCCTCCATATTTGCGAAGAATTCGGACAGCCACTTTTCACAAGCCTCCTTTGAGATCAACTTCACACCACCAAAGGCATTCGCCATGGACAGGAACAGGTGGTAATCACTTGGCGCTACGTCCGGGCTATATGGTGGATGCGATAAAACCTCCCATCCGAGCTCCCGTAGCTTCTGACAAGTCATCAACGAAGTGTGTGGTCTGGCGTTGCCCTGGTGGAACACTACATTTTTCGTCGCCAGTCACCATCCGCTTCAAGAATGGGTCGAGTTCGTTCCGTTTCAGCATCGCAGGTGTTGATTCGGTCCAGAAAGTTTTTTTGAGTCAAATTATGAGGCACCCAAACATCAAACTTTTTTTGTATCCAGCCTTCTGCAGATGGTTCAAAATGGTTTGGTGACTAACTCCCATATCCTGGGCGATGTCACGAGATGCCATACGCCGGTCTAACTCGATGTATTCCATGATTTGATCGGTATTTGTCGTCACAGGTCCCAAGCCGGCTGGCTTATCCATGGTGTCGTTTTCACCGGCTCTGAATCGTCGAAACCATTCCTCCGCGGTTCGAAGTGATAAAGTACCATCCCCCAAAACACCATTAATCTCACGGAACGTTTCTATAGCGGATTTGCCTTTAACGAAGGAAAACTTTAAAATAGCGCGAACTTCGGCGTTAGTGAACTCCATGTTTACACGTCTATAACTGTTGAACGCATAGCGTTGTTTTGTAGGTTATGTCAAGACCTTTCAAAATATGTATACGAGCTCTGTAGCGCTTTGTACATAGCCGCGAAATTCAAAAGACAAAAAAGCGAAGATATTTGACAACCTTATACTTTACTTTACTTTAACCTATATATTGAAGAAAACCCTAAATTTGAGGTAGTATTGTATTTTGTTAATTTGTTTATGCATATATATCCACTGTCCATATGCAGAACTCAGGCACGACAATGTTTATTTAACTTCTGTTCATTGTGTTCAGTAAAACGTCCACAAACAACTGGTCCAAAATTTCATCTTCCATTTCTTCTTTCATGTCAACATCTTCTGAAGGGTATACATCTATAGTTTATTTATATGACTAGCAATTCCTTCATGAAGAGAATTTATGTCGATATATAATTGGCTCTTTGTAACCGCTGAAGCGATTTTTCGGCCGAGGTCCAATTACGAAACTAAAGGTTAATTTTTGCATTTGGCAATTTCGCCTCAAAGTGTGAACTCTAGTAATATTTTGCATTGCCCTAACAATACTTAAGTTCAATCAGTAATTCTCTAATACGCTAAACGCATAACATAAATATGTATGTACGAATTAAGAAGCGCCCAAATAGCGGATTGCAAATAAAATTATTATTTTGTAGTGTTAGGGTTCATCCCAGATTAGAGTTTAGTTCATTTCATTAAACATTTTTATTATGACCGTTAGGAGACACAAGTACAAATAGGCATATGAACATCAGTTTTTTGCTTTGCATTAAGTCCGTTTTCGGTAGCGTGGAGTGGATTCTTCATTGTTCAAAATAAAACAATTTTAAAGTGAGGACTTTTTATTGAATACTGCAAACTCGGCGAGCTAAAAAGCTTGGTCTCTGGAATATAATTTTAACGATTCGATAATAATAATACAGTAGAGAATTCCCCTACTGATCTTCTTACATATGTACGAGTGTGTACGTGTATGTATAGATGTAGAACAAAAAAATAGGCACATGGTGATAGATCAGGCGAATACGGAGGATGTTCGATGAGAGAAAGCCCTTTTTTCATTAAAAATCCGAGCGATTTTTTGGTTGTCATTTAATTCATGTGAAACAAATCGCGCACAGACCTTTCTTTTCCCCAAATTTTGAGTTAAAATTCTCCAAATAGTGTTTTTACTCGTATTCAATTCCTCAGCCAGCATTCTCGTAGTAAAATTTGCATCGATACCAATGATTTCACGTACTCTTTCCACCAGTTCAGCTAGGGTAGGGTAGGGTAGTCAGCTAGGCTAGGGTAGTCATTTAAATCCTCACGACCATTTTTAAATCGTGTAAACCACGTATAAACTTGCGTACGACTCATACAATCATCACAATAAACTTTTTTCATTAAATTTTTTTCAAGTTTGACACAAAATTTTATATTTGCTCTTTGTTCCATTTTATTTTTGAACCATTGGCACACTTTTGGTTTTATTGAAATGGCTGTCACTTTTACATCTGTCATCCGACTTACATGATGTTAGGTGCGTTTGAAAGAGATAGCACTGTATGTTGTATGATTTAAATATAAAGTTCGGTTATATTTAGGACACACCGTGTACATACATATGCATGAGTGAAGAATGTACTTACATCTTCTACGAACTGCTAGCAATATCTTATAAGGATATTTAATGTTCTCTTTCACTTAAATCAGAATGTAATTGAAAATTTGTGGGAGTCATATGAGTTAAAGACCGGTTCAACGATCACACTGACCAGCAGAAGTTCAAATATAGAATTTGAAGCTACTTTCTTGAATATAAAGAAATCGTTGTATTCTTTGGGCGTCCTCCAGTGTATCCAATAATGAAGAATCTCTGTTAATTTCCAAAGATTCTATTTAAAATATGATAGATTTAAGATCTGAACCTGAAGGATCATAGACTGGGCAAAATGAAATCATCTCGTTAATTAGTGAAGTTCTTGCAGACTCGTACATATATATTTACATATATAATATTTACTTTGTATGCTAATACCTACATGTGTATAAATATGCATGCAATTATGACTATATGAATATATGCGTTAAAAAGTCGTTGAGAAATATATATACGGGTATAACATGACCAATGGGATATTTTTATATTTTATTAAATGATTTATTTTTTTATTAATTTTATATATGAAATTGAAAATTATAATTTGATTAACTACGTGCTACTAAGGATTTTTTTTTTTGGAAAATTTCTTTTACATATAATAATAATAATTTCCTCATTTGCGAGTCGGACAAACTTATATGAATGGCATATGTATGACAGTTCTTTCCGCCGTATTCCAATGCTTGCTCAAATCCCCTGCTGCAATGCCAACTGTGCGTGCTTCCCCTTTCGCCGTCGCATGATGCCCGATTGAACGCATTGCCCATGACTTAATATTGGCAGTCACTTCTTGACTAGTGTTAGCAATATCCAAAATACCGCAATAGAGCTTTTGATCCCAACGTGCATCCTTCTGATTTTCCCCTACCGGCGTAATTGGCGGCGATAATGCGCGTATCAATAGACATGACAAGCCGAAAGCAGTAATTGAACATTTGCTCGGTGGATTTAACACAACAACACCACATCTTCCAGCAGCAGCCACATCGATATTATCGACACCGCCGCAAGCTCGTCCTACCGCACACAGTTTTCCACCGTTTTCAGTGCCGGCTTTGAAAATTTCCGCTGACAATTTGGTATTCGAGGACGCAATGACGGCGTGATAGTCTCTTACCATATCACACAATTTTTTATCGCACACATTTAGTTTTGTATCAGCTTGAATGCCATGGCACTTTAGCAAATTCATGCAAACTTCGTCAACCGGCACACAAAACAATACACTTTTCGACTCGAATGTTTCATCAGACATTTTCGAATAGAATTTGCTACTTTAACGCTTTTTTACTAAAACTGGAGACGAGCTTGCAACCGATTGTGCGTTCGGCTCTTGTAAGACTGAAGTGTTAGTTTAGGTTTCATGGCTTTTATATGTATACTCATATGTAAATCGCCACTGTTTTCCTTGAAAATTCCAGGCAGTGAAAGGTTAAAATACCTTTTCTTAGACACTTTGTCCCTGTCATGACACAATAACAAAAAAGTATATGTTTCAAACCAATGATGTCCACTATTAAACGTTCTTACCTGCAAAAAAACATAAGATAAAGCCGCTATGACAAGAACTTGGCCGTAATCCAGGCAAACAATTACATCTGCGCAGAAAGGACACTTATGAAGTATTTGAACAAAGATCGTTCGTAACCGTTTATACATATTTATTAATATATTTAGATAATTTAAAAAGATGTTTTTGCTTAAACTGTCCTCAGAAGGCGGGGAAAGACTGTCAATTTGATACTTTGTAGAAAGAGGAAAGAAAAACAAAAATCTAAAAGGCCTGGTATTAGGCAATTTAAACTGCTTTTCGCGACAAACAAAACATTGCAGGGACGACAGAAAACGTAAAGACAAATGTTTCCGATGACGAAGTAAGACCTTTTCGCGTTTCAATTGCGGTACCTGCAGTAGAGACCAAACAAGAATACGCCACATTTCGCCGATACCCCTTATAAAACATAAAAAGATATGTTGTAGTAGCACATATGCACATATGTATGTATGTACATATGTAATTAAAAATTGCCAATATGCATATGTACATATTTACTTTTACTTACTGAAAATTATTAAATGAAATATATGTATATGTATGCAAAAATTACCTTTAAACAAAATAATAAGAATATGATGCACACAGAGATCTGGGGAATTAATTTTAAATTGAATGTGACTTGCTTCTTTGCTCCAATATTGGGATGATGAAAGAAGTGCTAGGTCAGGTTAAGTTGTGGCCTGGCTAACATCCATTGTGATGCCACAAAAATTGACCATTCATTTCCACTTTCAATTTTGATTCTCTAATGAAAGTCATTAGATCTATGATTATCCGGAAATAGGATCCCAGGGCAGTCGCTTAAGGGATGGATGATCGCTTCTTCCTCCTCATTATCCCTTCAGTTTCTATAGCAGCTTCTATAGCCCCAAGTCTTTCCGCATGTCGTCCTATCAGAAAGTGGCCTGTCGGAATTCCTTTTACTTTGGACACGTCGCCTATTTATAAGGATGACATATCTCGTATTCTCTTCTCATCCCAGTCGTATTGTAGTATAATTCCACCTTGTTCATATGCAAATTCTTTGATAAGCAGCATGCAAGTGGCAAAATGCATGTGTTCTTCATCGAGAAGAATCTGCTTGGTCGTACCTTTCTTAGCAAATTCAAACGCCTTATAGTTTTCGCCAATGTCCCTATGACCAGGGACCCACGGGAGATACAGTCGGTTCTGTTTGGCAACCTCCTGTAGCCCAGAAAGTCTTATATTTTGGCAATGTTGCAATCGTTGCTATTTTTTTTTGGATATTTTGAAACTTTTCGGGTAAGCACTTCAAAATTTCAGACGACGTTGAGTTTCAGAAGTTGGAGCCACAAAACAAGAAGTATCTTGTGGATAAATCTCTGAGACGCTTTGCTGAGCTCCTCAATTTCTGAAAATTTTCACAGATCAGCAGCAGACCAAGTTAGTAACAATAGAGTTTTCTTCTTTTGCATTTCGAACACTTATATAATTTTTGTTGCCAACCCTGTAAGAAGATTTCATTTTTAGTGGTTCCTTTTACCTTTTTTATTTAAGAACAACCTTAATATTTGTAAATTCCTGAAAGTATTATAGGGTAATGTACACCGTATTTTTCGGAAAATTCAGCTAATTGAGTGGGGGACTGGGATGGACGATATGAGAAGCAGGCTTCAGCAAATCTAAGCATAGAAGCCGTGAATATTAGCAGAAGAGCTGCACTCCCTCCAGACTATTTGGTATAAAATATATTGCTGATAAACTGTAGCTCGGTCAAAAATCGCTTAAGCGGTTGTAAATGTACATATGTATGTATATATTGCTGAATTTTTGTATATGAAATTGTTGTTGTATACAAAAATATGGGAATAAATACTGAATCTCAAACCCCGCCAGCCAAGACAACCCACTTTCCCCTTAAATTCAATAATTTGCAAACACATTCACAACATTTTGCTATTTCACTCACACAATCACAATATTTTCGTTCAAATTGTCAATTTCAAAATGTTGAGATTTCTTGGAAAATTTATTATTTATTGAGTTTGAATGTAAGCACAATGGTACATTCATTTCCATACTTCGGTTATAGTTTTATTGTTTTACAGTTTCCTTTTTTACAATTTGGATGCGGTTAGTCGCATGATCATGAGTGATGTATGGATAAATATGCAATTATAGTTCTTTAAACTAAAATTTTCAAAAATAAACATACACCATTGTCTGAGGAGGAAGATTTTTCATAAAAAAATCTTAAACTTTGTATTAAAACAAAATTTTGAAAGATATCAAAGATGCTTAATTAACGGCTTCCCTTATTTGCCATCCGTGAGTATCTCGCTGAAGCACTTAACGCAAAAGATAGATTTGTTGAACTAAATATATGTAGTTCAAAATTATCTAATTAATTGCCTTTTCAGAAATTCACAAAACGGATCATTCTCGGACATTCAAATATCACACAACATTTCCCTGCTGTAATATTAAGATTTTTGTAAGTAAAATGTGAAAAATAATAACCGGAGTTAGTCAGCGGTATTTTCGCCGCAGAAGAACTGAGATTTCGCAACAAATAGATGAAACCGGGTAAACCGAGTAATTCTAAGATATCAATTCAAGAAAAACTGTCCCAATGGGCTATGAAATGCAGCATATCAAGCGAAGACTTTTCCAAATTTCGCAACAAGAAGGTGGGCCCATCGGAAGCTGCGATGTTTGCCCATCTTTCTGGCAGTTTGTGGATCCCATCCCAAAAAAACTTCTCCAGCTTGGAGGTCAAGAAAGAATCGAGCCAATTTCTGATACCCTGTTCTGAAGTGAAGCGTACTCCGGTGAGGGCGTTCTGCATTGATCTGAACAAGTGGTAATCGGAAGGTGCTACTTCTGGGCTATAAGACGGGTGAGGTTGAACTTCTCACCCACAGTTTTCCAAATAGTTTTCAACTGGCCTTGCAACATGTGACCAAGCGTTGCCATGATGAAAAAGTATTATTTCGTGTCTGGTCGCATATTCTGATCGTTTTTCCGCGATAGCCTTTTTCAAACGAATCAATTGTTTGCGGTAGAGGTCCCCATTTATCGTCTGATCCGATTTCAATAACTCATAATAGAGCACACCCTTGTGGTCCCACCAAATACATAGCATAACCTTGGCACCAAGGATATTCGGCTTTGCCGTGGATGTCAATAGTTGGCCGGGTTTCACATACGATCTCTTGCGCTTTGGGCTATAACAATGAATCCATTTCTCATTGCCAGTGACAATCCTATGCAAAAATGACTTCTTTTGATGGCGTTGAAGCAACATTTTCGACATGCAGAATCGACGTTCGACGTCTCTTAGCTTTAATTAATAAGGCACCCAATTTCCAAGCTTCTGGACGAATCCTAATGATTTTAATCGTCTGGAAACGGTTGCTTGATCAACTCCAAATACTTTTGCAAGTTCTTCTTGCGTCTGGCATACTTCTGCGTCGAGCAATGTTTCCATTTCTTCGTCTTGAAATGAATATAGACCGAAACAATACTTGTAGAGCCCTCTCTTAGAAAACCGCACGAATTAATGCATACGCTTAATACTTTTTTTATCACCCGAAATTGAATTTGGTATTCTGGAGAACCGGTTACAATGTTTGAAAAAACTTTGGCAGCACTGCTATTTTCGTCTTTGTCAAATTACATTTGTCAGTTGGTGAAGTAAAAAAGAAAAATATTCACATCGAGGTGGAAGAAGGTGCGCAAAAAAATTAATAAGTTATTATAATTTGTTTCTTACATCATAAATATATTTTAATCTAATTATAGAAAATACTTATGCCTAGACGACAAAAAAAGCTGAATGAAAAAGCTTTCTTACAATTCAAAAAGGTAATTTTTTTCTCGAAAACTACTAAAAATACGTCTTTTGGCACTTTATTCTTCATCTTCAATGAATTCCGGGCCTAAAATATGCCCACCCTTTTTCGTTTTATTTTTTCTCAAACTAACAACACAAAATCAGTGACAGTGAACTCAGAATACGAAATAGTAACAATATTTACTGAATGGTAAATTTTAATACCAAAGTAAATTTTGTTACCTCGACAGAATATGAATTAATGAGCAGAGCAGCAGCACAGTGTTTTCCGGATTCTTCAGCATTCAAATTAATTCCATTTTATTCAATTGATAAAGTAAAAGAAGTAGAGGAAAATTTAGAAAACTACCCTAAGGGAGAGCACGTAAGTAATAATTTAATTTGGACAAATGTTAAAAAAACTTCTCTATTTTAAATATGGTTCTATTGTTTTCTGGATTCAAGAATACCTCAAATTACTCTTAGGGTGAGATGGGATTTCCAAATGTATCAACCATTTATTCACCAAAAATCTTTTGCTTGAAATCAACCGCGATGGGAAAAAGCAAAAAAATGGCATTGAAGCAATTTAAAATTTTCAACTTTTACTATTTGTTTTATTTTTATTATTATTTTATTCTTATTGTCAAAAATTCTATTGATCAAAAAATTCGAAAAAAACGAAATGACTTATTCGGATTTTGAATTAGAATCAAAATAAAGAATATAAACTTACAAAAAAAAAAAACAAAATATGTAAGAACGCAGCTAAGAAACGCGAAAATCCACAGATACCTTTGGAATATTTTAAAAATAAATATCCTTGGATTTTTAATAATGAATGTTCAATTATTTACATATATGAAATACTCAAAACTGTTTAACTAATTTCATTGCATTACAATGAATTTGCTAGGAAATTAATTACATAATTAAAATTGTAAAATTCCATTTAAAAAATTTGTTTTTTTCTGATTTTTAAGTAGTGCGGCTTAAAGTTTAAACAATTGGCATGTATTACACATATACAACTGTGAGCAAAAGCTAAGGTGAATTTGTTTGTAAAATGAAAAATCTTTAATTATTCTTGTATCGATCGATTTCGTCGCCTTCAAAATAGTCCCTGCCGATGCAATGCACTTAAGCCAAAGCCTTTTCCAATTATCGAAGCATGTCTAATAGTCACGTTCTGGTATGGCCTACAGAGGGCGCGCGGATTCACGTTTAATCTCCTCAATCGACTCAAAACGGTGTCTTTGAAGTGGTGTCTTGAGTTTTCGGACAAGCCAGAAGTCACATGGTGCTAAGTCCGAGGGATGCGGTGGTTGGAGAATAATAATTCGTGGAATTTTCAGCGAAATGGCCACGAAGAATGGCTGCTGTGTGCATTATCGGGATGCAAAGTTCACGAAGGCACTTTTAGTCCTTTAGCAAACACAAGCGTAAGCTTTGCTGGTGTCAGACTAATATAGAAAAAGTTGTAGAAAATTAGTATAAGCTGTAGGTCCCTCTATTTGTTGGAAAAACATCAATGCGCAAAATCACAAATCGGAGGAAGAGCTCGGCCGAAAATGGCCATTTATATACACATCCATACATATACAGCCTTGACCAAAAGTATTAGGCACCCCACTAATTACCGAATTTTTTGTTTTAATAAGTGAAGTAATGAAGTTTTATTAGTGAAACAGTGAAAATACAATGAATTAGTGATAATAACGTTTATATTTAGTAGGTCCACCCTTCGATTTAATAACGGCAGCAATCCTCTTAGAAATGCTGCACACAAGCTTTGGACATTCGTCCGCACTTACAGCGTACCGCTCGTTAATTAAGGCATTCTTTAAGGCAGTTTTTGATGTTATACTGTGTTTCTTAGTCTTGCGTTTTAAAATAGCACACATATGCTCAATGGCATTAAGATCTGAAGACTGTGCAGGCCGATCTAACGAAACAATGTTGTTATCTCATTGTGACAAAAAGCTGAAATTAGTATCGCCGAAAATGCGCATTAACGAAGGCAGAATAACAGCTTCTAATACATTTATGCACTTTTTACTGTCGCTGCGACCCTCGTAAACCAACATCAACAGCAGATATGCAGCTCCAGATCATAATGCTGCCTCCTCCATGCTTAAAAGTGGGCAACAAGCAAACTGTATGATATTCTTCCCCAACCCGTCGCCTCATCAACGACACACCAGGTTTTCCAAATATCTGTAGAAAAGAAAAAATCATGGTTTCATAAGATTTGTATTATGTCTTCAAAATTGCTCTAAGCTAAGAAGCTAAGGCTATTAATACTTTAAGACGATCTTAACTAAGCTTACCTCGAAGTTTGATTCATCAGACCACAAAACATTCGACCAATCTTCTTCCGTGAAATATTGGTAACGGCGCCCATTCATCCTCTAAATGGTGCTTCCAGAAGTCTTCTTCCAGCTGTTCGAGTTAGTTATTTACCAGTTAGTGGTTTACTTAAATCATCCGAAAGGGCAGCTGCAAGGGCAGAAGAAGATTTTTTGCGATCCTTGAGAGACTCGCGTAAAAGAATTCGGTCTTCTCCATTACTGGTTAGACGCTTTCTTCCACTTTTTGATTTATTATTGTGGGATTTCGCTTCCACAAATCGATTGATAGTCCATTGGATCGCGCACCGCAAGTATTCCACCAAATTGGCAATCTCAACCTGAGACTTACCTTCTTCACTTCGAACTTGAATTCTAACTCTATCATCGTAACTAATTTTTCTTTTTTAATGCATTTCGGTAAATATGAACTGTGTTTATAAGATTGATAGCTTTTCACTAAATGTAAATTACACCTTCACTTTCAAATTTTAAATGCGAAAATATTTTCTTCAACTTCTGATTTTTGTGAGCTGTGGCTTGTTGAAGCTGCGCGTGGGGAGAGGTTTGCTTTTGCTTACATACATAGGCTTTGTTGACGATGCGAAGAATATTTTTTGCAAATTCAACTAACTTCTAACCCTAAACTGTCGAAAATTCTCATGGCCATACAATTTGTATGGGGCTTCCCACAATAACGCGGCGTTAACGTTGATCAAATGGAATTTTTAATTTTGACAGCGCGTTATATGATGAAGTTAGATGTGAAGGATAAAAGTTGCAAAAGAAAGGAGGATAAACTCACGAAGAGGGATAGGCACACTTTTGCGACCGATTAAGTTCGTATTAACTTGTTTGAAATAAATGCAATTAATATATTTAAGAAAGAGAAAACGCCAAAACGTTAGCGCTCTCATTTTGGGAGAGCTCGCGTTGACACTCATTGGCGTAAGTAAACGCTACGCCGAACGCTCCAGTTCAGGTATGCCAGTAAGGCGGCATATATGTATGTATGTACGAGTATGTAAATATGTTGTCATGATAATGATGTGTGTTTACAAATGAACACATAATATGTACATACAAACATATGTATGAATGATTGTTTGGCGGTGGGTAAAATATGATAGATTTTTGGATAGAATAATCCAGAAAATTTAATAAAAAAATATAACATTTAAACCAAATCGTTAAATAAATTGGAAAATATGAAATGAGAAATGAATTTAGAAAATTAAATAGCTATTTTATATTAAATAGTTTTAAATATTTTTATTTTAATATTAATTAAATATTTTATACACTATATTATACATACGTATGTGTGTATGCAAATATGGTCATTTATATGTCATACCATAAAGTCATTTAACGGCAAATGACTTCAAATTTTTTCATTCATTCATAACTGTAAGCCATTCATACTATCAATCACAAAAACAACTCCATATGCTCAGCTCCTTTTACTCCTCTGCGCGCTACTCTATTCAAAAAGCTATTTGCTATAACAAGAAGAAGCATAAGTGCAACGAAAACAACTACCGCATAGAAACCCTCTACCCTTCTACTATTCATCAACAAACATTTTCCTCAAACGAAGTCAAATTTTGCTAAAAATCAGAATCTGATGTACAACTCAGGCAAAAGTGAAAACACATACATTTAAGTATTTTAATATGTATATGAAAAACGCACACAATCTTAATAACGCGCATGCCCTTTCCTCTTTGATCCCGCCATTCACAAGCAGTTTCATTACGACCATGGAAAAATTTGCCAAAATCTGAAATTCTAGTTGAGCTGAAGTAAAATACAAACACATTCAAAGGTACCAGCATGTACATATGTATATGAAAGACCCATACATACACAAAAGTATGCTAACTTCTTTTCCCTCACAACCCGAATCAACAAGCAATTCCTTGGCGACAATTTAAAATTTGGCATTTTCAAAAAAAAAAAAAAACAAAAAAAAAAATGAATTTAGCTATTTTAGCTATTATATTAAAAGAAGATTGAACGCGCGCAGCTTGGACAAAAATCAATTAACGCAAACCATTTCGCCACTCATCACTTTGCATTTTCGTTGGCATAATTCGTATTTCTTTAGATCGCTGGCAACAGTATTGACAATATTTCAAATAATATTTTTAAAAATGACTTGTGTGTATGACTATATTTAATTCGACATCTGAACTATAAGGAATAAGTGCCATTTTCAAATAAAAAAAATAAAATACATATATTTGCAACTTATACTTTATTTTTGTTTAAATACATTTTGATATATTTAATGATTTTTAAAAATATAATTTTTTAGCTTTTTTTTAATTTTTTTTTTTACTATTTTCTAAATTAATTTTTTTTTCATCGTTTTTATTTTTTATCTCATTTTTTTTAGTAACATAACAGATATTAAAAACGCTTGGTACATATTTAAATTTCTATTTAGCTTACTTTTTTTCTTATTTTCTCTGGCGTGGTATCATGCCTTATCATCCACACATAATATTTAAGCTCTACGGCGACATCTATATTCAGTACTTCGCATATTTATAATTTTTTAATTTCTACCAAGCGCCCTCTATTGAGCAACAGTAAAACTAAGCAGTATTATTGTTGCACTGCACATAATTAACAACCACAATTAACTACAGCTGATTCTCTCATAATATCTTGCACTTCCTTACCAATCTCTAACAGCTGTTTAATAAAATTTGCTGTCATAACTTTGTGCCGAAAAATATAAAATATGGCTTCAATAAAAAATTTATTGCAATTATGCAAAGGAACACAATATTTTTTGCAGTTCTCCAATAATCAAAAGGTGAGTTATTTTTAACTGATTATTTTCTATACTTCAATGCTGACTTTCATTTAAGTGTTTATTATCCCTTGCTGCTGTACGTCAATCGAGTTACCTATCATCACCACCAGTGGCACCACGTGAGGAATACCCCGAAGTGGAGATTGTACAAAATGCACCAGAATGGAAATATGTCGAGCGTTTGATGCCACAGAAAATTATACCAAAACCCATTGAAAAGCCAGAATATCCTTCGGGATGGAAACCACAGACCGCAGCCTCACTACCGGATCTGAAGTACTTCGTAGCGCGTACAAAAAATCATATGGTACCTGTCTATCTACATACGACCTTCCGCGGTCAAAGGCGTATCACAGTCATACGGCGCATCCAGGGTGACATTTGGGAGTTGGAACGAGAACTGCGTGTTGTTGTGGAGAAAGCACGTAATGGCAAATTATGCGCTAGTCGTGTTAATGAGATGAGCGGACAAATACACTTTCATGGCGATTATGTTGATGTTATAAGGGAATATCTCAAGGAGAAAGGCTTTTAAATGGTGAAATATGTTGTTTACTTTATGAACAATAATAAACAAAAATATTTTATAAAAGTACAATTATTTTATTTAATTATTGTTTCCATTAAGTTATAGATTCAAATTATTTACAGAGCTAATTTACAAACTATTTTATATGTAACTTTTAAAAATCCAAAGTAATTAATTAATTCAGGTTTTTAAAGATGGATGGCAAAGTAATACCCAGAATATTGATCATTTAGATAACATCTATGCCTACACCCTGAGAGAATACAACGTATTAGATGTGGTTTAAATATAAATCTCAATTTTCATTTATCTCACTAAAGTACATATTTACAACTAAAGGAAAGTTAAGATCTATTACATTTATATTGTTATTTTATACTATAGACACAGAGGGAACCGTGGTCGCTGCAGATCGTTTCAACGCTTTTCGTATTGCAGTCCAATCCTCTATTATTTCCTCTTCACGCAGCATGTACACAATATAAGGACCAGTAACCGTAACAGCTTTTTTTCTCCCAGGCCCACGTACTTTGCTTGCCCGTCGATCGACAGCCCAATCAGACCAAGAAATGTCAACATTACTTCGGTCTTCTTCTAGACGTCTAATTTTCTCTATCAAAGCTTCCTCTATCTGATCAACTGCTAATTGCTTTTCGCTCTGCAATATAAAATAAAATTAGAAGAGATGTAAGCCATAATAAACAACTCGTTCAAAAAAGAGAAAGTGCTTTGACATAGAAATGAATGGTGGTTTAAGCGAGTTTACTGTAGTTATTCTTTCTCCAAAACAATTGTATTGATACAAAATGGAATTTAACACAAAAAGTTTGCTAAGCCCATGCCTTCGCAGGTTTGCTTCTACGACTTTTAATAAATACTTTTCACACTTTTCACGGCATATACTTCGACAGTTATCTCCTTTTGGTTTAGCTTTAGTTATGCCCTGCACCATTATTCATTTTTCGCTTCTAAGCACTTATAAACTTTTTTTTACTAAAGCCCGCATTCACTCATTATCAAAACAAACTATTTCGTAGTTTACCTCGTAATTTTGTAAGGCTGCTTGCGCCTCGGACTGATATTTATGTTCGATGTTTTCCAAGCGATATTGACGCAATTTCTCAGCAACTTCTATGCGATTTTTAAAAGCTTTATCTAACTCCCGTAAAGGAACCAAATACTCTTCTGAACGACCACTTCGCACATCATCTATTTGTTCTTCGTTATGACGGATGCGTGCCATGTAATACTGCTCTCGCAATTGTTCGAATTGATCCTCAAGGCTTGCTGAAAATTTAAAGAATCATGCTGTTGTGGGTACAAACATTACACATTTCACATTTGCTCACATAAATCTTGTAGAAATTCAGACCGCTGCCGTTCTATTTCATATGCATCTAAATCTGATGAATCATACGAAGAATTCGCTTCTTCATCACTAGTTTCGTGTCCACGGCTAGAATTGGAGTGCTCAGACTCGGCACCAGACATATCCTCGGCGTCAGACGCATCAGCATCGTTTTTGGCAGGCATTTCGTTAGCAGACAAACCTTATGCGCGAATCAGTGGGAAGCACTTAAATCAAATAGTTTGTGTAGCTAATACTTTTGCAAACTTTAATATATTCTGAAAATTTAATGCAATAATTTTCCTGCACTGCCGAAATGTTACTTGTTAAAATTATTGTCACTAATGTACTAATGTCAGATGCTCAATGACAGTTGCCTACAGTTGTGGAATGTGGAACGTTTCTATTATATGCGACAGTGATGCCAGATATTTTGCGGCCATACAGCTAAACGCGCCATAAGTAGTGTTACGAATTAGCTATAAAAGATTGTTAAATAAAAGTCCAAAAATTGGTGTTACAATTTCTTAAATGTAAAGAACTTAGTAAAGCCTTTATTTATTCCTCAACAACTAACAATTTGGTTGACTGTACACGACGACTTATTTTACAATTCTAACACTACTATTTCCACATAGTTCAATAACTATTCAACTCTCTATAAACAAGTAGCTTATTCCGCTGTACTCTATACCAGTGTTGTGTTAACCGAGTTTACTTTGTAACTGTACTAAGATTCGTTGGCCGCTCCCTTATATACCCAATTGATAATGCTCGTACATAGTTTTAGAAGTTTCTGGCATGTTCTCACGATATACAGTATTGTTGCGAAAATGCGAGGCGAATGTCAGATGAAAGAGAGAAGCCGATAACTAGTAC